CCCTTGCTTCCATTTTCAGCCGCATGAGTTCTATCTGTCTTTCATGTTCCCTTTGTTTTTCCTCAGCCTGAAATTTGGCTAATTCCAGCTGTAGTCGAGCTGAGGATTTGGTCATTCTAACCTCTCTGTTTTTAACTAACTTTACACCCGAGGTTTAGAAATAAACAAACAAAACGTGGCTGTAAAATTTTGCTGTGCTGGAATAGAATACCTATTCTCTGATAGTGACTGTCAGCCTACAGAAAAAAACAATTCCCTTGTCTCTGCTCTGGGCCCAAATTAAAGCAAAAAACCTCCAACTACTTGGAAACCTGCTTACCCAGCCCAAAGAAAAAGCAAATGGGTAGAACACACACCCCCTATTTACTTTTAGGAAGAAAAGAAAAAAAAAACCTCTGGGTTGGAAGACTGTGAATTTCCCTGCAGGAGTTAAGTACCCTGCCTCCAGGCAAAGAAAACCTGCAATTCACAAGATAATCCCCTTTTGTCTCTGCTTGGCCACAGCAGAGAAAAACCAAGCTGCTTTCAGTTTCAAAGCTGCTTTCTGGACTTCCTAAAAATTCCTTTTTAAAATCTGTATTTCTAGTTCAAAAAATCTCAACTGGATCTCAAAATGATTTCAGGTTAATCCCACCACTATGCCACCATGTCAAGGTTCCTCCCCCACTCTGAACTCTAGGGTACAGATGTGGGGACCTGCATGAAAAACCTCCTAAGCTTCTCTTTACCAGCTTAGGTCAAAACTTCCCCAAGGTACAAAATATTACACCCGTTATCCTTGGAATGGCCGCTACCACCACCAAACTAATACTGGTTACTGGGGAAGAGCTGTTTGGACGCGTCTTTCCCCCCAAAATACTTCCCAAAACCTTGCACCCCACTTCCTGGACAAGGTTTGGTAAAAAGCCTCACCAATTTGCCTAGGTGACTACAGACCCAGACCCTTGGATCTTAAGAACAATGAACAATCCTCCCAACACTTGCACCCCCCCTTTCCTGGGAAATGTTGGATAAAAAGCCTCACCAATTTGCATAGGTGACCACAGACCCAAACCCTTGGATCTGAGAACAATGAAAAAAGCATTCAGTTTTTTACAAGAAGACTTTTAATAAAAAATAGAAGTAAATAGAAATAAAGAAATCCCCCCTGTAAAATCAGGATGGTAGATATCTTACAGGGTAATTAGATTCAAAAACATAGAGAACCCCTCTAGGCAAACCCTTAAGTTACAAAAAAGATACACAGACAGAAATAGTTATTCTATTCAGCACAATTCTTTTCTCAGCCATTTAAAGAAATCATAATCTAACACATGCCTAGCTAGATTACTTACTAAAAGTTCTAAGACTCCATTCCTGTTCTGTCCCTGGCCAGGAGGGATTTCAAAGGGGTTTACCCTTCCCTTTATATTTATGACAGATGCCTGTTACAAAACTGAAATACCCTTATAGTTTTGAAGGTGGGTGGGTTTTTATTTTTTTGCTTTTTTTTCCCCTCCTAACAGTTATCCTAAATCTCCCTTGCTGTAGATTAAGTCCACTACTACAATGGACGTGGAGAAAAACTGATCAAAATTCTCTTTGTAATGGCCCTTAACATATTGGAAGACAGTTATTGGGGCCTGTCATAAATATAAAGGGAAGGGTAAACCCCTTTAAAATCCCGCCTGGCCAGAGAAAAAAATCCTCTCACCTGTAAAGGGTTAAGAAGCTAAAGGTAACCTCACTGGCACCTGACCAAAATGACCAATGAGGAGACAAGATACTTTCAAAAGCTGGGAGGAGGGAGAGAAACAAAGGATCTGTGTGTCTGTCTATATGCTGGTTTCTGCCGGGGATAGACCAGGAATGGAGTCTTAGAACTTTTAGTAAGTAATCTAGCTAGGTATGTGTTAGATTATGATTTATTTAAATGGCTGAGAAAAGAATTGTGCTGAATAGAATAACTATTTTTGTCTGTGTATCTTTTTTGTAACTTAAGGTTTTGCCTAGAGGGGTTCTCTATGTTTTGAATCTAATTACCCTGTAAGGTATCTACCATCGTGATTTTACAGGGGGGATTTCTTTATTTCTATTTACTTCTATTTCTATTAAAAGTCTTCTTGTAAGAAAACTGAATGCTTTTTCATTGTTCTCAGATCCAAGGGTTTGGGTCTGTGGTCACCTATGCAAATTGCTGAGGCTTTTTATCCAATATTTCCCATGAAAGCGGGGGGGTGCAAGTGTTGGGAGGATTGTTCATTGTTCTTAAGATCCAAGGGTCTGGGTCTGTAGTTACCTAGGCAAATTGGTGAGGCTTTTTACCAAGCCTTGTCCAGAAAGTGGGGTGCAAGGTTTTGGGAAGTATTTTGGGGGGAAAGACGTGTCCAAACAGCTCTTCCCCAGTAACCAGTATTTGTTTGGTGGTGGTAGCGGCCAATCCAAGGACAAAGGGTGGAATATTTTGTACCTTGGGGAAGTTTTGACCTAAGCTGGTAAAGAGAAGCTTAGGAGGTTTTTCAGGCAGGTCCCCACATCTGTACCCAAGCATTCAGAGTAGGGGAGGAACCTTGACAGGGCCTCTCTCAGTCATCTTTTTCCAGAACTGAACATGGCCCTTTTCTTTTTTTCTTAAACCTCTCCTCATAGGTCAGGTTTCCCAAAACTTTGTCATTTTTGTTGCTCTCCTCTTGATTCTCCAGTTTGTTGACATCTTTCCTAAAGTGTGGCACCCAGAATTGGACACACTATGCCCGCTAAGTTCTTACCATCGCTGAGTAGAGTGGGACAATTACCTCTTGTATCATATGATACTCCCATTAATACCTGAAGATTCTCCCTTAGTTCTTTAAACTTTAAATGGAGTTGCTTTGCTTTTGACTAGTGTAAGTCAGCTACAGGAGGTCAGCTGAAAAGTATAGTTTTCCCCCTTTGCTTCATGTGGAATGCCCTTGTACTACCTGAATCCAAATCATATAGTTCATCATTTTACCTGCAATTTAGCAATTTAGCTTTCAAAAGTGGTAGGGTATATGATTTTTTAGTTATTTATTTTTTAGCTGGAGCTTCTGCATTCTCTCTCTATTGTCATGGCAATGTTCTGTGTAGCCATGAAGTGCAGCTTTGTGATGTGTGGAGTTTCTAGGTACTCACAGGATGGGCTTCTGCTTTGGGGGCCTCATGAAATCAGGAAGTGCACTGGAAAAGTTAAAATAAAAGGAGAATATTTTTCAATGCCAAATATATTTTGAATTCATTAAGAACTTTAGGGCACGGTTCAGGTTCTCATTCTTTATCCAAACCAGTTGACTCATCCCTAGTGAAATCCTGGTGTATTTAGCATTTATCATTTTTCTTAGGTTAGCAAAAACTTTATAACATGCCAACTTCTGAAATACTCAGTGGACGTTTTTAACATCTCATTGCACTTTTGTGCATTGTTGTGCACTTTCAGACCCTGTCCTTACTCCATGTGCTTCCCCACAAATGCACATAAACATGCACAATAATCTATGTACATGCTGATCTGAGCCAAATAAATCAGTCATTCACAAGGCACCACTCTGTTCCCCCTGAGGGTCTCCTCTTCATTCCCTTGCTGAAATGTAAATGAGCAGCTTGCATGCTTTTTGCATGCAGCAAGTGTATTAGGTCCCATTGATCAGCAGGTAGAAACGTTTGTACTTTCAAAAATTCTTATGATTAATCAAGTGTAAAGTACAAAAAATGAAAGCAACTTTAAATGGAGTTGCTTTGCTTTTGACTAGTGTAAGTCAGCTACAGGAGGTCAGCTGAAAAGTATAGTTTTCCCCCTTTGCTTCATGTGGAATGCCCTTGTACTACCTGAATCCAAATCATATAGTTCATCATTTTACCTGCAATTTAGCAATTTAGCTTTCAAAAGACTCAAAACACCATAGTTATTAGAGTGTCCAACTAATGATTCTTTTATACTGATTATGATTTTGGTACTGCTTTGAAAAAAAAAAACAGACTAAGTAATTAGATACTATAGTTTATGGCTGGAAGTTTCCAAAGCTGCAAATCGTTAATAGATTTTTTTCACTTGCTTTGTCTTATATATTTTTTAAACAATAATTTCATGGAATTGACTTACAGCCCAAATTTAAAATGCATTCAAGTGCTTGACTTGAACATATATCTTTTAATATACCATTGTATTTCACTTATTCATCTTAATTTGTAACACTAACATTTCATCACCTCCAAAGCATAGCTATATTGTTGTTGTTTCCCTCGGGCAGTATATTTTGTTCTGCCAGTGAACTTAATGTCAAACATTTTTTAAAGAGACTCTAAAGTAATAAAATCCCACTAAGCCTCTAATGTTTGCTGGGAGGTATTGTCCCCTTTGGGTTCATTGTAGGCTCAATGGCTCTCAACTTTCCCATACCGTGATCCCATGTTACAAAAGAAAAGTTTCAGGATTCCCCGCTGCAGTAGTTTCAGGACCCTCCTCTCACTGAGCCATAAAGGAAGGAAGGATGGAGGTACAACTCATGTGCTCACTAACTTGCATTCCCTTTGCTGGCTAGATGCCTGTTTGGATGCCTATAAAAAAGTACCACATAGTAGCGAATTTAAACTAAAATTCTCCTCTAGGATATTCATAATAGAATTTTTACCAGTATTCTGCAGTCCCAATATACATAGACAATCAGAAGGGGGGCAGGAGGTGTTGGAGTCAAATCTAGTCTGCAGATCCAGAATGATAGTTTTGTCCTAAAGTACCTTTTTGTTTTGGGGTTTCTTGATGATAAAGTAGTAAACATTTTTCTTTCAACTCTTTTACACTTGATTATAATATGCATCACATTCGGGGTATAAACTGTGTCCTGAAAGCTTTGTGCAGTATTTCACAAAGGCATGTTAGCAATCAGTCCTCTGTTCTCAAAGGACCAGTCTTGGCCCCTCTCATTTACTCTTTATAAAATGAAACTTGCAGGTGTTGTATCATTCCTAGCCTCATTCTGCCTTTTCTTTCACTGGCAGCTGGCACACTGCACCATTCATTGTTTTCTTGTCTTCTCTGCTCCCTCTGGTTCTGCTTCTTCTCTTGATAATCATGGGAATCAACAATCACAATCATGCAGGGAGCCCAAGTTGTCCACTATTGATGGTAGGTATAGTCTTGATAAACATTTGGGTTTGAAATCTGTCTCTGATTTCAGTATGAATGGCAGACAGTTTCCTGACTAAATATGTGATTCACTCAACTTTCCACAACACCTTGAGTTCCATTCTAATGCCATGAAGACTTTTTATTGTACCTTGAAAGGGCTGATCGAAAGGAAGACACCAGCCAGTTTATATTTTTATTGCCATATTGTACATCAATTGTACATCAGCTCTAGACATTCCTGGGTATGAAATATTTTGCATCCTATAAACAGACACAGAGGAATAGGGGCTGAGCTTTTTTTTTTTCCCCAAAAAAAAGACTGTTCTCAATTTAAGGTCTGTGACAAATGTACAGGGTGCAATTCTGTGCTGTACCTCTAAGATTCTGGGCTGTTTCAGTGACTGGCAAGGACCCTAGTGCAACTTAAACTGTTATGGGCAGCTTTCTACATTATGGCAGCATCTCCTGCCTCCATATAGACTGCATCACTGCATACTGTGGCCCGCCTTGACATGCCCCTCGTGCTCCAAGGCCTGCGCTATATGTCCTCTATGCCAGGGCTTATGAGTGGGTCATTAGAGGGTAGCTCAATGGGTGTCTTCCACAGTGCCTGTGCTAGGGAATGCTCCCCTAGCTGCAATGTGGTTTCTAGAACACCTTTACACCTCTTCAGTTCTTGTACGTGGCCAGAGCAGAGGTGAGGATCTGGTCTGAAATAGTTAAGATGTGAATTAAAGCTCATTGTGCTCAAGGATATGGATAAAGTTTCTGAATTTTTTCTCTTAGTTTCCAAACATGAAATCCATATTCCGAATAGAAGCACAGGCCATTAGGGGAAAATGTAACTTAGACTTAATAAAAAGTATGCGAATTGAACAAAAAAGTATTGAAATCATATTGCCCCTTTTTTCTTCCCTCAAAATACTAAGCACACATTTGCCAAACTTAACAACAGGTCTCATGAGTATGCAAAGTCAGTTAAAAGGCAGAACCATTAGGAAAAAAATAAAATAGGTCCCAGAGTGTATTTGCAATATGTTCATTACATTTTTAAAGTAAAACTGCCTTTAACATTTTCTAAAATCAGGTATGTAGTCTATATCTTGTAGAAGAGTTGGAACTTTTGGAATACAATTTACCTATTGCTTCAATTCAGTATTATTCCAAACATAACTATTAAGTCTCTTGATCTATTTTACTTTAGCTAGCTAACCATCAAGGATGAGTTTCATACCTACTGTTTAAGACATGCATGCAAATGTAAACTAAGTCTTATTGAACAGTTCTGACTGCAGGAGATCATAATGGTGAAATTATTTTTAATGTCAAAGCCTTATTTTGGATATGTAGTGATTTAGGCTACATTCTGATACCCTTGGGTACAAGGATACTGCAAGGAATCCTGTTGAAATCAGCTCCTCAGTATAACTTCTTGTGGAGTGAGATACTATTCTTTGTGAGCTAGGGTATCAGAATCTGGCCTTATTTGCATTATCTGAATGTAAACTCTACATGTGTTTGAAAGAGATGTACTGTATAACAGTGCACTGGGTTTGTTAGTGCATTTTAGTATCATCTTGTCTAAATTTATTGTTAAAATGTGTGTTGTATTGTAATCATGTAATTTGCAAATTGTTTCCCAGGAAGGTGGGAAAGATGAGTGTTGGTGGGATTTTTATAGCCTGTCATGGAGTACACATAACTCATTCATGGGTCATGGAGAACACACAACCCTTAACAACATGTTTATAACCTCCAAAAGGAACAAGGGAAAGGATCTGTCCAGCCCTGCACAATATGCTCAACATGCCTGTTAATTCAGCCCATATGAGATTAGAGCAGAGAGACCGAGTGAAGTAGGCATTGCAGTGAAGGACCAGAATGGATAAATCCTCCTCATGCCTTTTCTCTTATCCCAGTGAGGAAATGGGTTCAGGAGAATAGGTTCAGGCTAGAGCTCATGGAACACCTAGGGAAATGATCTTGTTACTTGCCCAGAGCAGATAAGCAATTAGAGCAAGACAAGGAGAACAGATCATAAAAGGAAGAAGGAGGTTATTTGGGAGTGGGGGGAAAATGTGGAAAAGGTTGAGAACCCCTTGCTCAGAAAATGGCTGTTTGTGGAATTCAGTTATTCAGAATTCATCTAGAGAAGTAAGGCTAGATTGTCTGATTTCCTGTCACGCATCTTTTACCCGGCTAGCCTGCAGTATCTATCAGGTGTTAATCTAGACAACACTGTGCTGCATTGCAGGAACTGATTGCTAGTGCTGGTTTTGAAACCATATATGAAAGATTTCCCCAAAGGCTGAGGTATTCAGTTTGAAGTCTGGAAGAAGGGAACTGCTGCTGTGAGAGAATGAGAGGACTGACTGAAAAAGACACTCTGGAAGTGCCAGCCCTTCTTCAAAGAGCTGCTCATTCCTGCCTAGCAAGCAGATTTTCCAGCCTACGTATGTCTTGAACATCCAGAATTAATATACTGTCATGTCTTGAACTCCTGGGGAGCTGTGAGGCCTAGAAATGAGGAAATAGAAGTGTTGCAAAGTTCAGGGCTAAAGTTCCAAGATGGCGGTCTGAATGTGTGCCTATCATTATGTGCTGTTTTACCACAGCTATGCACACAGCTTGGGTGGGACACGCACACAGAAATGGCCCTTTAGTAGTTTGACCCTTAATGTTAAAATTCCTATTCCGTTGTTTCACTCATTTTCAAAAGATCAAGTATTCTTGTGATCAAATTGCTTCTATAGCCAAATGCTTATTTTGATTCATGCACTTATCCTGGAAGAAAACAGCATTTTGACAACCTTGATGCTGCCCAAGCAACTTTCCAATCAGTATAACCCTGTGCCAAAGTGGCTGAAGCAAAGTACTCGTTAGAATTTCATGTGGATTGAGAAATAGACGTAACGATTTCTACTCCATTACATTTCTCTGGACCAGAAATAACACAGGTGGTTGCAAAAAAAAAAAGTTTTTTCTTTAAAATGGTATTCATGCATAATCTACTCCCGTCTGATAAGGTGCTGTCATATGTAAGTAGAGTAGGTTGCTATTCTGCCTTATAACAACATCTGATATCCGTTTCTTCTTTCCAACCATGCTGTCCAAGTGCTTGAACGACTTAGACTGTAAGCACTTTTTATGTGATTGTAAGACTGCCAGGATAGTGGGGCCAGTGGGTGCCACTGCAATACAAATATTACAAATTAATAATTGCACAATTTAAGGGATCATGCTCTGAGTAACTGAAAATGATATTCTGGGGCACAGGAAGAAATTTAATCTACCTACTGTAAGGCTCTTGGCATCCACTCTCCAGATATCCACCAGCTATCAATTGGGGACCCTATACAAAGAGGGGAGATATAAAAGGGTAAAATTTTCAAAACCGTAGGAGCCCAAGTCCCATTTTCAAAAGTACTTAGAAGCTTATAGATATTTTTAAAAGTACCTAAATGACTTAGAAGCCTAAATCCCATTGAAAGTCAGGAGAATGTAAGCTACTAAGTTAGTTAGGAGCTTCTGAAAATTGTACTTGTAATCACCATCCATAATGTCTCTGAAAATATTTGTCCTAATGGTCATTCCTATTTCAGTCCCTCTGACAAAAATCATGTATTCTAATATCTTTAGAACAGGTCAGATGAGGATTAAGCTAATCACCAGTTACTTTAAGGGCAGTTATTATGGTGTTTAGTGACACTTGGAATGAATCAGTGAGAAGCAGGGATATGCAGTACAGTGTCTGATCAATAGGCCATATATCTGTGTGGAATACAAAGCTGCCTTATCTACTTCCCTGTGTGCCTGCTTATATAATATTTAGAACTAGTAGAACTAAGGCTGTATTATAAATAAAAAATCATTTAGGTAGTTTTGTTGAAATCACTTTTCTGAGGGGAAACTATATAAATGTGACACGGTGGTGCACTGTCTCCCTCTTGTGGTGATTGGACCAGAGTTAGAAGTTAATGAGCCTGCTTACAGTCTTGGGTCTTTTAGGTTGGGATGTAGAGGTTCGTGCTTTAGGAACTGAGGTTCCATACCTGTTGCTGAAGACTCACTTAGGGGCACGGTGAAACGTACACATTCTACAGTTAGGCCCAAATCCCGTGGTCCTTGTTGACTTCACTTTTGCCTGAATAAGAACTTCAAGGTTTGGCCTGTAATAACTGCCCAGATAATAACATTTTCCAACACTGGAAACTCAGTAAGAATTGTGTCTGCTTCTTGAGTAAGAGTGAAATCGCTGTGAGATGACACAGGAGTCTGAGACAGCACAGCAGTTCCATCTTCCCAATACTTGTTGAAATTTCCTCTTAAATAGCAATGGGGAAAATCACTTGTTAGGATCAGTGTTTAAAATCTCAGTGTCATTGTCAGTACTCATGGCAGAAAAGAGGACGATTGCAGCTGGTGTTGGAGTTATGCAAACCCTATTGAGTGAGAGTCACCATCATGGTCTGGGAACTTAACCCTGCAGCTTAGTTTGCAAGTGGTTAGCATCAAATCACCCATTTAATATTCACATGCAGGCTTGAGATTGTGAACTCAAGGGGATGTCTCTCCCCTCCTTCACAGCTGCACCCAGGTTGCCTCATGCATCCTTCTCCAGCAAACCCTAGGAACCACCCTCCTTATTTGTGGTGTTTCCAGGGGATCCAGTTGATCTCTTTTCCTAACAGGATCCTGAGCCCAGTGGCTTATGCCCTTAAGACCGAATTGTCTGCTGGTATAAATTGCAACAGTGCCATTGACTTGGAGCTACACTAATCTACACCAGCAGATAATTTGCCTCTAAGTGTTCAAGGGCCAGTTGACAGCTACCCCTCCCCCCTCCATCTTTAACTCTTAGGAAATAGTGGGCAGTTACTGGTGCTTCAGTCCTAGAGATCTTTGGGGTCAGGAGGAGAGACATGAAGTGGCGTGGCCCACTCCTAAATAGCACATGGGGAATGAAAAATCCTTTCTGTCCTGTTTAAAGCATCTCT